CCAAGTAATTTGGAAGATAGCTCCCTGGCTAACTGACTGGAAAGATCCATATTTGTACCTGTTCCAAAGAAAGGTGAACCAACAGAATATGGAAATGATCAAGCAACATCATTAATATCACAAACTGAAAATACAGAAAGGGCAAATTGACTCCCATCCAGTTGATTCTGACTCATAGCAAACCCCTTTGGGTTTCCAAGGAGGTAAATATTTATGGCAGCAGATTGCCTAATCTTCCTTCCATGAAGTGGCTGTTGGGTGTGAACAGCCAACCTTCTGCTTAGCAGTGAAATGCCTTAGGCACTATACCATCATACACATGTAAAATTTTGCTGATGATAATTAAAAAGCAATTGCAGAAGTATATTGACAAGGAACTTTCAGAAATACAAGCTAGATTCAGAAGAAAATGTGGAATGAGGAATATCATCCCTGACATCTGATGGATCGTGGCTGAAAGCAAAGAATATCAGAAAGATGTTTGCTTGTGTTTTATTGATTAGGACAAAGCATTTGGCTGTGCAGATAGTAATAAATTATGAATAACATTGAGAAGAATGGAGATTCCAGAACACTCAACTGTGTTCTTGAGGAACCTGTGCATAGACCAGGTGGTTGTTGTTCAAACAGAACAAGAGATATTTCATGGTTTAAAATCAGGAAGGGTGTGCATTGGGTTATATCCTTTCACTATACTTATTCAATTTGTATGCTGAGCAAATATTCTGAAAAGCTGGACTATATGAAGAAGAACACAGCATCAGGATTGGAGGAAGTCTCATTAACAACTTGCAATATGCAGACAACACAACCTTGCTTGCTGAAAGTGAAGATGACTGGAAACACTTACTGATAAAAATTAAAGAGTACAGTCTGCATTATGGACTATACCTCAACATAAAGAAAGCAAAAATCCTCTCAACTGAACTAATAAGCAGCATTATGATAAATGGAGAAAAGATTGAAGTTGTCAAAGATGTCATACTACTTGGATCCACAATCAACACCAATGGAAGCAGCAATCAATAAATCAGATGTCGTATTGCCCTGGGCAAATCTGCTACAAAAGACTTCTTTAAAGTATTGAAGAGCAAAGATGTCACTTTAAAGGCTAAGATGCACCTAACCTAAGCCATGGTATTTTCAACTGCCTCATACGCATGTGAAAGTTGGACAATGAATAAGGAATACTGAAGAAGAGTTGATGCTTTTGAATTGTGGTGTTCACAAAGAATACTGAAAGTACCACAGACTGCCAGAAGAACTAACAAATCTGTCCTGGAAAAAGTGCAGCTGGAATGCTCCTTAGAAGTGAGAATGGCCAGATTTCATCTCACCTACTTTGACATGATGATTAGCCTCCAGAAAATTATGGTGGCTTTGGGAGGCAAAGTAGCATGCCAACAATGCAGAGTAATAATGGCAGAATGTACAAAGGAGAGAGAGTAGAAAAACTTTCCTAAAAGAGTAGAGAGTGGAGGAATAGGGGAAAATAGCTGAGACAGGCAGCCTGGGTCATGCAAAATGCTGTAGTTATCCAGAAAAATAAAAATCAGGATGGAATGAGAAGACTTTGCCAAGTAGAAAGAGAGAATATTTGCGTGTGTGTGAAGAGTGATAGTTCGTAACTTATTCTAATATGTTTGTGTGCAGCTACTGAGCTCAAAGGGGAAGGAGAATAGAAACAAAATCTGGAGAAGTGTCCTAGAGCAAAATTACACATGTCCTTGTGTGCTCTCTGAAGACGTTTAAGTTTTATCTAAAGGGCAATAGAAAGCATTAAAGATTTTAAGCAGGAGAGTGTTTTGATAAGATTTTCCTTTTAGAAAATCAGTCTAGTGACAACGTACAAGATGGATTATGTCCTGGAGGGGGAGGGGGAGGGGGTTGCTTGAAAGCATGGTTGAAGCTAGGGAAAATAGTTAGGACACTTGCAAGTAATCCAGGAAAGAAATGATAAGGACCTAAACAAAGCCAGTGGCCATAGGGTGGGAAAAGAGGAAAGAGATTAGAGAATTCTATAAGAAAGAGAATAGAAAAGGCATGGTGACAGATTGAATGTGAGAGTGAGATTCGGAGACAACTCCCACACTTCTGTCTTGCATGACTGAGTGGGTGAATGTGTTTCTCAGCAAGATAGGGAAGGAGGAGTGGATTTAAAGGAATCAGTGTGCTCAGGTTTGGGTATGTTGTTTCCAAGATACTTCTGAGTCTTTGTACTATGACAGGGGTAAAGAAAAGAGAATAGGAAACATGGAAGCCCAACATTTGATGCAAGGAGCAATCATCAAAGAACAGATGTCATCGACAGGGATAAAAACTAAGGGAAAATAGTTTCAAGGAAAATGTTCTTAATAGCATCAAACTTTATAGATAAGGAGAATAAGAACTAAAGATTGTTCATTATATTTAGCAACTACAAAGTCTTAGCTGAGAGTTTTAAAGGGTGGTAGATATCTATGTCAGAATTCTTTTGAGTTAATTATGTCAATATCTATTTCCAAAATGTTTTTCCTCCATTTAAAGTTTAGCATGGTTTACTAGTGTTGACCATAAGCTTTTTAAAGGCATTACCCCCAACTCAAAAAACAAAACAAAAAAACAACTCACTGCCAGTAAGTCAATTCTGACTCATAGCAACCTCATTGGGTTTCTGAGGCTGTAAAGATTTATGGAAGTAAATTGCCCCATCTTCTTTTCTCAGAGCAGCTGGTGGACTTGAACCCCTGACATTCTGGTTAGCAGTCAGATGCCTTAGGCACTGTGCTGCAGATTATTCACTTGTATTCTTCACCCACACACTTCCACTCAAATAAATGCATATGGGGAGTAAGTGCATCAATTTCAGGACAATTTCAAAACATTTTTATTTGCTGGATTTTTCAGTATTCTGCAGGATTTCCCTTGAGATATTGCTTTCCTCAAACCTCCTTGATATTTTGTTCCCAGTGATCGTTCTTTCCCAATTATAACCCATTCCCATCAGGTATCAGCACTTCATTATCAAGGGAAATGGTTAGTTAAAACCACAGTCATCAACCATTGAAGAAAAAGACCATCAGGTTTGCCTGTAATGTCTGTGCTTGAAAAAGTCTATCAAAGTATATTTTCAACTATTGAGAAAGAATTTGACATCTTAATTTCTCAGGCTACCAGCTAGTTCTAAAATTACTGCCAAGCTCTGTAGAATGTTATCCATTTCAGTATCATCATTTTCAAACTACTATCCTGTCGGGAGAAACCATTGACTTAATTTGGTCTTTGTTATATTTCTGCACTAGTGTTTATAATGGTAAGGACTCCCGGGGAGACAGATTTAGAAAGGAAGTTCTTAAGACTCCTCTGAACAATGTTTCTAATTCATTTGTTTTGCTGGTTTGCAGCAACAACTGTACATTGGTTCCCGAGATGGATTAGTTCAGCTCTCCCTGCACAGATGTGACACTTATGGGAAAGCTTGTGCCGACTGCTGTCTTGCCAGAGACCCCTACTGTGCCTGGGATGGAAATGCATGCTCTCGATATGCACCCACTTCTAAAAGGTAAGAGTGACCAGTCACTGGGGAGCCTTCCTTTCTACAACATGAACACTTCATAAACATATCTTGCTTTACAGTGTAAATTAAAGAATAGATAAATAGAAAATATA